GTGGGCATCGCCTTGCCTGCAAGCGTGGCAGTTATTTAAGGAGAAACAGTGAGGAACCCCAGTGACTTAAAGGAATATTTTAATGATGTGCCATGTTCTTCTCTGAAATTTGCTGCCAGCCACCCAGAGGACTGAGAATTAGGTGATTATAAATCAACTTCACATTCCCTGCTTGCTGTTAAGCTTTCAGAGGCTCTGGGAGGAAAAAAGAAAACAAAGACTCTGCTGCTTAGATGAATTCAAGCAAACATACACGCTTTAAACACTGCAGCTTTTGCAAAGTTGGGCTTTGTGTGTTGATATGCTCCCGGTGTGTAAATGATGTTTTGTTTTGTTTTCTTTTCACTGACTGTATTGCTGGGACTTTTCATATTAACCCTGAGGGTGTGTTTCTGATAAGATGTAATTTTTTTTACTTTTATTTTTTCTGATAAGGCTGGGATATTTGCTAAGACACTTTGTGTTTCGTTATGCTGATTCAGAGGGCAGTTGGTTCGTGGTTGGATGTGGATTTGATTTGATCTTTTCCTAGATTAAAACTCTGTGCTCAGTTACCTGCTAGGGAGAAGTACATAGGTGTGCATGCAAACACTTTTATATTGAACTGTGGCTTCGTAAGAACCCACGTCTGTCTGTCAACTCCAGCTGAACAAAAATGAAATGATTTCAGAGCTAGAGCAGCCTGGGAGACTCCCCCAACTTTGCACATCCTGTTATGGTTGAGAAGGCTGAGGCCTAGAGTGGGTGGATGGGGGGGCTTGTCCAGGACCACACAAATGTTTAATGGCAGAGCAGGACTACTCTGGATTTCTGGCCTTCAAAACCAGGGTTTCATTGCTATGTGTCATGCTATGACACACCCTACCACCACCTTTAAAATGAAGACAGTTCTGTTTCTTTTGGGGATAGCCTACACGCTAAGTCAAAAGAGTCTCTCTTTTCTCCCCTGTGAAAAATGAAAACGGTTGCTGTTGAGTTGATTTCAACTCACGGCAACACCATGTGTGTAGGGGTGGCAGGAACCTTCATTCTTTTGAAGGTTATATGGTACTCCATTATATGAATAAAGTAGAATATAACCCATTTGATGGATGTTAGGTTCTTTCTGGAAGGAGCTCTGGTAGCCTAGCGGTTACGAATCGGGCTGCGAACCTTAAGGCCAGCAGTTCGAAACTACCAACTGCTCTGCGGGAGAAAGATGAGGCTTTCTACTCCCGTAAAGATTTACAGCCTCAGAAACCCTGTACAGGGTCGCTATGGGTCGGAACCGACTCGACGGCACTTAACAACAACAACAACAAAGGTTCTTTCTAGAGTTCATGGGTGGCACCAACAGCTAAGTGCTCAACTGCTAGCTGAAGGATTGGAGGTTCTAACCCATCCAGATTCATCTTGGAAGACAGCCCTGGAGATCTGCTTCTGAAAGGTTACAACCTTGGAAACCCTATGGAGCGTAGTTGTACTCTGATACATGGAGAGAAACAGAGAGAGTAGCAAGAGGCAGGACTAGAGGGGCAGACAGGACTGGTGAGGCAGGCCTGGCTGAAGTGGTTTCTCTCTACCCTAAAAGCTGTGGGCAACCACTTGGGGGCTCTCAGCTGGGCTGGGCGTAACAGCTGGACCCTAGGAGGTCAGCTTAGTTACACCAATCAGTGTGTCCTCCAGAATAGTCCACAGAGGACATGAAGGGGCCTGAAGGTGGCCTACCCAGCCACCCCAGCCCTCCAAGGCTAGAGCCAGTTACAGTACTTCAGGAAGAGGTCTCATTTCTGACTGGTGGAACTTTGCATCTCATGCAGTGGTGGTCAGCCTGTCCTATAAAGGAACAGTGAATATTGTGGACTTTGTGGGTCTGGAGCTGTAACACAAAAGCAGCGATAGATTTCTATGCAAACCAGTGGGCATGGCTGTGTTCCAATCAAATTTGATTTGTACAAGCCATCTGTGGGCTGGAAATGGCTGTAGTTTGCTAATACCTTGTCTAGTGTTGAGGGCAAGATTCCCTAAGCATATAAATAACAACAATATGATATGATAGCAACGGATAACAGGTGCCAACGAGAAAAAGGTAGGGAGGAGGGTTGGAGAATGACACAGGTGGAGTGGAGACAGCCTTTCTGATGGGTGCTGGCTGAGGAGACACGTGCCAGAATTAAGGGAATTAGCCTTATGAAGATCCCGGGGCCAGAGTCCCCAGGCAGAGGGTACTATGGCAAAGGTAAGAATTCTGAGGCAGGAGCATGCTTGATGAATAGTGAAGAAATCTCCATAGCAGGAACTGAGTGAGTTTAGGAAGGAGAGGGTGGAGTGGCAGGCTAGGACTACGGGATTTTAGATGCCACTGTGTAGAAGACATTAGATCTCATTTCAACCTTTTGCAGATGGACATTTCAAAAGGACAAGTTCTCTGGGTGCAGAACAGACTATGAGGGGCTAGTGTGGAAATGGGTAGGCCAGATAGGCCAGGTGACAGCAACAGTTCAAGGGGAAGAGATCCGAGGCTTGGATGGAGAAATTTGGTTGCTGGGTAAATCTGATTTCTATTAAGACAGTAGAGCGGTCAGGATTTGCTGAGGGCTTGAAGGCGAGGCATGTGAGAGAAGAATCAAGGCTGACCCAAGTAACTGACAGGGAGGGAGGGTGGAGGCTACCTTGAGTGAGCTATGGAGCACTACAGGGAGATGAGGGATGAGGGTGAGGGATGGTGGGGACAGTTGCTTACTTTCCTCATTAATTATACAGGGATTTCCCACATGGCCTGTGTATAAGGGATGTTGAGAATGAATGATTCATTCCCTCACTAGTTCCACGGGATTTCCTACCTGGCCTGTGTGCTTGTAACTGTGTGAGAGCTGTGAGGGACATGGGTCTGTAGGATGTGGTGTCTCTGAAGGAAGGTGAGTCTAGTCTACTTGAGGTGGAACAGAGACACAGGCTTGGGGATGGAAATGACAGTGTGAGGTGAGCGATGACAGAAAATCATCTACGTAAGTGACGTTCTCCAGGAGTGGCAGAAACCTAAGGTTAGGTAGTCACTAATCTTATATACACAGGTTTTAATAGTTTGGGGGAAACTCTTGGAGCCCTGGTATGGCCCTGTGGGTTAATGTGCTGGACAGCAAGATTGGTTTGAACTGCAAGGTCGGTTGGCTGTTCAGGCTCACCAGCTGCTCCTCAGAAACCCTATACAGGGTTGCTATGAGTCAGAAGAGACTTAACGGCACTTAACAACAACATGTAACCATAGCCCTGGCCTTTGGGGGCATGTGCTCCCTCCATGGGGTTTCTGATTCTGCTGGTTCTGTGTCTCTTGAGCGAATTGCTTCATTTCCCCAAGCCTCAGTCTCCCCATCTGTAAAATGACACAGAGGAGAGGCGAGTCAGGAGCCCTAGTTCCGTATTAAGCTGCTTCTTACCCTTGGGGACAAACATCTGGGATTCGGGCCCAGAGCTCCGTAGAGCTCTGAACCCACGCAGTTACCTCTGCACCGTTTCCTCACCTATAGAATGGCTAGATTGGCTTGCGTGCTCCTATTAAGTGCTGTTAAGTTGGTTCTGAGTCACAGTGACTCTGTATAGGATTTCCAAGGATTGGCTAGCACAAACCTGTGGGGAGCCCTGGTGTGGCACTGTGGGCTAATGCGTCAGACTGCAAAGTCATTTGAACTGCAAGGCTGATGGTTCAAGCTCACCAATTGCTCCCTGGAACCCTATATAGGGTCACTGTGGGTCAGAATCAACTCAGTGGCACTTAACAACAACTATCACCACCACCTTGTGGTGAGCAGTCTAGTGCTTATCCTACAGAGCCACACCAGGATCTAGATTGGCCTATTGTCTAGTGGTTATGACCCAGTGACAGATTAGATAATCTGTTTCATGGGCTGCGGACCACAGTTTAAGGAAAATGCCCCCGGTGGTGTTGGGCTCCTCAGTGCACGGTTAGCAGTCCAAAACCACTAGCCACCTCTGCAGGGGAGAGATGAGGCTGTCTACTCCCGTGAAGCTTTATATAGACTTGCAAGCTCCACACTGGAGCACTGTGAGTCAGGATTACTTAATGGCCACGGACGGGTTTGGGTTTTTGAACCTGGAGCAGAAAGGGAGATAGGAGTGCTTCATACATAGCTGGGTAAGTATTGTTTTGTGATATGTCTTTGAGTTGTGGTTGTATGTGATAGTGTGAACTGGGCTGTGGATAAAATGCATTTCGTCTAAAGTTGTCTTTAAAAACCAGCTGGGAGCCAAAGCACCAGCCACTCTGCCAGGCCTGCTGATCCCAGCGTGGTGTGGAGAGCTAGCTGGCTCTATACCTGCACTAAAATTGGTCTACTTTGCTCTCTCTATTTAAGGAATCGGGGACAAAGTGTCCCGGCTTTCCCTCTAGTGAGGCATGGAGGTTTGGTGTGGTGGGGATTAAATTAGGAAAAGCCATACAAGACAAAACCCCCCACCCCCACCCCTGACTACTCTGCAATGGGAGTTGTATTTTAGAGGCTTAAAAAGACCCCTCCCTTCCCCCTTCTCTTTCCAGAAGAACCGAATGCACATAAGGTCGTCGGCCCACCACCCTCCGGACTCGCGTACCCCGATGATGTCTTGGATTATGGCCTCAAGCCATACAGCCCCCTCGCCAGTCTCTCTGGCGAGCCCCCAGGCCGATTCGGAGAGCCGGATAGGGTGGGGCCCCAGAACTTTCTGAGCCCAGCCAAGCCAGCGGGGGCCTCGGGCCTGAGCCCTCGGATCGAGATCACTCCGTCCCACGAACTGATGCAGGCAGGGGGGTCCCTCCGCATGACTGACTCTGGCCTTCTGGTGCCCGGCTTTGAGGGCTACCGCGAGCCGCTTTGCTTGAGCCCCGCTAGCAGCGGTTCCTCTGCCAGCTTCATTTCCGACACCTTCTCCCCCTGCACCTCGCCCTGCGTCTCGCCCAATAACGGCGGGCCCGACGACCTGTGTCCCCAGTTTCAAAACATCCCTGCTAATTATTATTCCCCCAGAACTTCGCCAATAATGTCACCTCGAACCAGCCTCGCCGAGGACAGCTGCCTGGGCCGCCACTCGCCCGTGCCCCGTCCAGCCTCCCGTTCTTCGTCGCCTGGTGCCAAGCGGAGGCATTCGTGCGCAGAGGCCTTGGTTACCCTGCTGCCCGGAGCCTCACCCCAGCGCTCCCGGAGCCCCTCGCCGCAGCCCTTGCCTCACGTGGCTCCCCAGGACAACGGCGCCCGGGCTGGGTACCCACCCACAGCTGGCTCTGCCGTCCTCATGGATGCCCTGAACAGCCTCTCAGCGGACTCCCCCTGCGGAATCCCCACCAAGATGTGGAAGACCAGCCCCGACCCATCACCGGTGTCTGCTGCCCCTTCCAAGGCAGGCCTGCCTCGCCACCTTTACCCCGCTGTGGAATTCCTCGGGCCCTGCGAGCCGGAGGAGAGGAGAAACTCCGCCCCCGAGTCCATCTTGCTAGTGCCGCCCACTTGGCCCAAGCAACTAGTGCCTGCTATTCCCATCTGCAGGTGAGTGAGGCTTTGAGAACGGTGTATTCCATGTTGAGATGTAAGGGAAGGTTTTCTGATTAGAAGAATGGTGGTTAGAATTAGGCGGATTGGGCTTAAATCCTGGTTCTGCCCCTCACTGGCCGTGAGGACCCTGAGAAGGAAGTTAAAATCACAGAACTGCAGTTTGTGTATCTGTCAAGTAAGTATAGTACGCACACCTGACTCATAGCAGATAGTTGTGAGAATGCAGTCTTACCTGCTCATTCATTCATTCATTCATTCACCGAACCAATCGGTATTTATCAAGGTGTGGTGCTACGGGTTAATGTGCAGGGCTGCAAGTCGGTTTGAACCTCAGGGTCAGGGGTTCAAGACTCATCAGCTGCTTCTTAGAAATCCTATACAGGGCCGCTATGAGTCAGAACCAACTTGACGGCACTTAACAACTGTACTAGTTACTGGGGATAAAGTGGTGAGCAAAACAGGCAAAAGTCTGCCATGATGGAGTAAGTACCTTAACTACATGAAATCTATTTCATTATGGGAAGAATCGATGTTTATTGGATTGGCATTTACTACATGCCTCAGCACTGTGCTTGGTGACATTACCCACAATCCTCAGGAGGAGGCTTAAAGTCTCGGCAAGCATGGGGATACTAGCAGGTAGGCCCTGGGTCTCTCACTGGTTGTGTGTGCCTCGAGATCTCTGATGCTACCATCCTGATGCCCGCGGCAGACAGCACTAATCAATTGGGGTCCTCTTTCTCACTGAGCATCTTTTGGGACTTTGACTCATCCTCTGTAAGATGAAGATAATAATAGTTTCTCCCTCCTGGTGCTTTTTCAAGGCTTGTTGTTGTTACTGTTGTTAAGTGCCATAGAGTTGGTTCTGATTCATAGTGACTCTATATAAGGTTTCCGAGAAGCAGCTGGTGGGTTCGAAGTGCCGACCTTGTGGTTTGCAATCCAGTGCGGATCCAACAGCGCCGCCTCAGGAGTGGGTTAGGTGAGATGATACCTGTCCAGCTTGTGGCAAAGAGCCTGCATGTAGTAAGGCCTCCAAGAAGAAGTTGCTATTGTTAGAGTTGAATTGCTGTTTAGAAAGCGCTTCCTTGTTGAAGAGTCTTGAGCTAGGGGTAATGGTAGTGATCATAATAATCACCCAGATTTAAGGGTGCTTGCTATGCACCAGGTACAATTCTAAGTACTATGTATATGTTATTTCACTTAATTTTCATGTAAATCTGTTTATTTTCATTTTGGTAAGAAAAATGAGGTCCAGAGAGGTGAAGGGCAGGTTACTATTCTGCCCATCTTAGATAAAGAATGTGAAGTCTTAACGCTGTTAGGATTATCCCAGTGGCTTTTAAGCTGGTTTTGCTTTTGGCAAGTAGCAGCTTATTATTCTAAAAAAGATGGAGTAAAAGATTAAAGGCAGAGCCATTGTGAAGGGTGTGGAATGAGAGTGACCAGGGTCCCTGTTCATTCCGATGCCAGACTCAAACACATGGTAGGGAGAGACCATTCTGGCATTTTCTCCGAAGTGGATTCTGAGAACATTCTCGCCACACTAGATCAGTAACTGGTATTCCTCTCAAAAGGCATTTCTGGGTTGAACAGAGTTAAAGCAGCTTCCTTGATTAGTCAAGAGACATAAGTGGGAACTTTGGCTCAACCTTGCTTCATGACCTTGGGGACATGTCTTTGGTGTTCCTCTGAGACTCAAAGAATGGTCTATATTTCCAAGACTTCAGTCAGCTCTTAAATGCCAGTAACCCCTTATGGAGTACCTGCCGTATATGTCGGGTAATGTGGAGAGTCTGTAAGAAAGTGAAACTAAATGAAATGTAACACATACTTTCAAATCTGAAAGCCACAGCATCTAGGTAACTGAGACAAATGTCTACAGGAAACAGCTATTTATTTGAAATATATACTACAGGAAAAATACGGTTAGTGTATTTCTTGATCACTTGTGCTGAGTTCTTCACATGATCTCAGTATCCTCATTTTACAGTTGAGGTACAGGTTATTTGGCCAAAGTCTCACAGCGATGGAGCTTGGACTTGAACTTGAACCCAAATCAAGTTCTTTACCTTGACTCTCCATTTAACATGAGGAATCTGAGTGACTGGACTCATCTATACCAAACCCAGACACTTCTCTGTGGTTAAATGCTTTAAACTTAACCTCATAATTAATGACTGTGATTAGAAATAGACTTTCCTCAAAATGTACTCTTTATTGAGATCACCAAAGAGCACAGACTTTGGTGTGGATTGCATCTCAATGTAAAGAAAACAAAAATCCTCACCGCTGGACCAACAAGCAACATTCTTATCAATGGAGAGAAGATTGAAGTTGTCAAGGACTTTATTCTTCTTGGATCATGGAAGCAACAGTCAAGAAATCAAACGACGTATTGCATTGGGCAAATCTGCTGCACAAGACCTTTTTTAAAGTGTTGAAGAGCAAAGATGTCAGCTTGAGGACTAAGGTATGCCTGACCCAAGCCATGGTATTTTCAATAACCTCATATGCATGTGAAAACTGGACAGTGAATAAGGAAGACTGTAGAAGAATCGGTGCTTTGAAGTTACAGTGTTGGAGGAAAATATTGACCGTAAGTGCCATGGGATGCCCAAAGAACCAACAGATCTGTGTTAGAAGAAGTACAGCCAGAGTGCTCCTTGGAGGCCAGGATGACCAAACTTCATCTCTCATACTTTGGACATATTGTCAGGAGGCACCAGTCACTGGAGAAAGGATATCATGTTTGGTAGAGTGGAGGGTCAGAGAAAAAGAGGAAGACCCTCAGCGAGATGAATGGCAAAGTGGCAGCATCAGTGGGCTTAAGCGTGGCAAGAATTTGTGAGGTTGGCCCAAGATCGGGCAGTGTTTCTTTCTGTTGTGCATAGGGTCACTATGAGTTGATACCGACTCAATGGCACCTAACAACAACAACAACAACAACAACAACAACAACAACAACAACCATGGGAAAAAGAGCTGGTACAAGCCTCATATGCCATCTGATCCATTACCATATGGTTTCAGGAAATTGAGAATGAAAATAAGAGAAGTCAAGTTACTTGCCTAAAGTCACACAAGGAGTTAGTGACACATTGGGGGTGGTGGTGGTGGGAACTTTGATTGTTAACTTCAGTGTGTTCCTTCTCCCATACTCATTTCACTGGAAATGAAAAACATCCTGGCTGGGGGTGCTTTTGAAAGGTGGGAGTTGGATAGTCTTCTCACTTTGCAGAGGAAAAAGTCCAACAGTTAGAAACACACTACAACTTACTTTGCGCTTCATGAAGAGAAATGATCGCTACACTCCCCTCATCCAGATGGAAAGGAAACCAAAGGACTTGTCCACTGAATGTGATCTTCAGAAGAGAGGCTGTTTCAGAGACGATGATGTGGAGAGATGGAGCAGCTGGGAACTTTAGACCCAGAGAGGGAGAGGGGCTGTGTGCTGATGACTGGGAGGCAGGCTTGTAGTGTATACTCTTTGGTTGGCTGATGATGCATGGACGGGATTGTAACCATGGCAATGAAATGATATACGATAGGATGAATGTAAACTAATGTTCTCCGATGCAAACTATCACATAATTCACAATAAAACATTAAAAAGAAGAGAGGCCGTTTATGTGTATTGTACAGGTGTTCCATGACTCCTTCTGTTCTTCCATCAGCATCCCGGTGACTGCATCCCTTCCTCCACTTGAGTGGCCATTATCCAACCAGTCAGGCTCCTATGAGCTGCGAATTGAGGTGCAACCCAAGCCGCATCACCGGGCCCACTACGAGACGGAAGGCAGCCGAGGGGCCGTCAAAGCTCCAACTGGCGGTCACCCTGTGGTCCAGGTAGGAATTTGAGTTCGTTACATTCTGTATTTTTCGTTTGTCACTGGGGGACAGCTTCTGTTGAGCCATTGTCTTTTGCTTGCTCATCTGTGGTTGGTTTCACAGCTTCTCAAATACGAAATTAGATTAGTGTCAAAACTGAATCCAGCTCTGCAGCAGCAAGAGAAACTTTCCTTGTTGTGTAGGATTGGCTTGATATTCTTGCTCTAGGTACTTCGTCTTTTCTATTTGTGTCTGAGAAACTGCTAGAAATTCACAGAGGTGTGTGTTGGCAGGATTCTACAGCCATGATCGTGGGCCTGAGTTTCAGGTGAAAGTCTTGTAAAACAACAGAAAAGTAAGAGCAAATGAAAACAACACATAACCACACTTGCTAGAATTACCATTGTTTACATTTTGACATATTTCCTTCTTTCTTTTCAATTCAAACATGGTGATCTGTAATCCTATTTATACATATTTAGTTACTTGATGTTCTCGTGAATGTGTAGTTTTGTCTGTTACATATTTTTGTATCTATTTCTTGTGTCTGTGGTTTTTGATTTAACCTGGGTTTTTAAATTTAACTTGGTATTTAAAAAATAAAGTTGAGAAGTGTGATTCCCCTCCCCTGCCCAATAATTAGAATTGAAATGTTACTCTTCATTTGTATAGTTTGGTTAACCAGAAACTGTTAGCTGGTTCTCACCAGCCAGGTCAATCAACCAGAACGTTCCATTTATTTAAATGATTATTTATTTATTTTTTGCTTTAATTTTAAAGTGGCTGTGTCTTAAGACAGATCTTCCATTTTTAATTCACAGTGCTTTAGAAGCCACTAGACTCATTGTTAAAAATACAAATTCTTTAGCATTCCCTGACGCTATTTACTTTAAAATTGCATAGGTGGAGCTCAGACAAACTCAGAAAGCTCCACTGGTAATTTGAATATGCGCTCCTGGTGGTAGGTACTTCTTTGATAATCTTTGTTGTTTTTAAGTGCTGTTCTGACTCATAGTGACCTTGTGTAGGGTTTCTAAGGAACCCCTGGTAGGTTTGAGCCAGCAGTGTTGTGTTTAGCAGTCCAGTGCTAACTCTACATCGCCATACCAGGACTTATTAAATCTCGGCAGTTGGCTTTGCTATCTCTAACATCTCCGCCATCTTGGGATGTGTTCTGTTGATTGCTGCTTTTCTGCACCATGGCTTATATTGTCCTATTTCTTTGAATGTCTAGTAATTACTGATTGTGTACTGGCATTGTGATGATAATGTTTACAGGACATTATAGACACTGGATTTTGTTGTCTTCCTCTAAAGGCAGTTCAGTGATTGATTTACCAGTTTCTACTGCATAGGGCTGGTTTTATGCTTTCTTAGGTGGACCTGTGGAAAACCTAGTTTCTTTTCCATTCTCTTTCTACTTGGTGGGGCTCAGCCTTCAAACTGTCTTCTCTAGTTGAGACTTGGTTTTCAGTTTTGTTAGGTTGGGTCGATAGGCATGTCATTATTCTAGCTGGGTTTGAACTTAAAACATCTGTGCTCTGCTCAGCCTTTTGTCTTTCCATTCCCCGTTCTTCTCTGGTAAACATGGCAAGTTTCTCCTTGTGCTTACACATCTTGGTCCTTGACCAAGGACTCCTCCAGCAGCTTCCTCTATTTGGTACCCTACTCATAGAATCCAGCTTCCTCCATAGCCAAGAATCTGAAGTTTGCCTCCTCAGTCATCAAGAACACCGTGTTCTTCTTAAACTTAAGTGTGGTACAGAAGTTGTCCTGGGCAGAGAGCTGGAGTGGATGTGGGCTCAGTTTGTATGCTTCCACCATCTTGTACTACCTACTATACAAAGCCTGAAAGCAGTCAATGTATGTATTTATTTCTGTTGTGTTTTATGCTTCTTGTGGTGGGAGTTTTAGCCTCATACCAGTTACTCTTTCCTGGCCTGGACATTGCTTTTTTGGAAAAGAAAAAATATTTCATATTATCGAGGCTAATCTATTTAGGATGAGAGCCTTCTGGCTTGGAGGTTGCTGTTGGTCTGTATACTTGGGTCACAGCTTTCCATAGTAAGAAAGACAGAAACTCATTCAAAGCAAATTAGAAACAGGAAATTGTATGAGGGGGCTGCTGGGATATTACGTACAACCATAACAAGAGACTCAACTCAAGAAGAACCAGGATTTGGGAAGGCAGACGCAAGCTTTGTTCAGTCAGCTCATCTCACAAGTGGATTTTCTTAGCCAGTATTTGTTGATTACCGAAATAAAACCCAACATCAGATCGACTGCCTTGAGCCAATTCTGACTCACAGTGACCCTGTGTAGGGTTTTTGAGGCTGTAAGTTGTTTTGGGAACAGAAAGCCTCCTCTGTGGCATGTAATGTGTTTGATGCGGAGTACAGTGAAGAATACAGGTTAGGGTTTCTTTCTTCATGGAACACATGGTCTGGGAATAGAGAGATGTTGATTAAATAATCATGGAAATAATAAATGACAAGTTGTAGCAGGTGTCAGTAAGAAAAAGTGCATGCAATTCTGGGAGTATAATTGTTACTCAGTGCTGTCGAGTCTGTTCCGACTCACTGTTGTTGTTAAGTCAAGTTTAGACCCATAGTTGACCCTGTATACGGTTTCCGAGGAGCTGCTGGTGTGCCAGAACCGCCAACCTTGTAGTTCAAAGTGCTTTGCAGTCTGGCGCATTAACCCACAGTGCCACAGCAGGACTCTGTTCTTACTCCTAGGGACCCTGTATAGGGTTTGCACCACCAACCTTGCCTTTCAAACTGACCTTGCATTTGAGTGCTTATCCTACAGAGCCACGCCAGAACCCTCTGGGAGTGTAGAGTGGAGTATAAATAGGGAGGAGCATCAGTTAAAATTTCTCAATGAAGAGACCAGAACTGGAAACCTACGGATGCATAGGAGAATGGCATGAGCAAATGCCAGGGAGCAGAGGGAAACAGCCCCATCAGAGGAACTGAAGGTGGCCAGTGTGATGAACAAGAGGGTGGAGAGGTAGGTAGGTAGGAAGGGGCTAGGACATGCCAGGCCAGGAGATTTGGGCTTTTACTCCGAACACCTGGAGAACTTCTGAATAATCATGTGTGTACATAGGAGAGAAACACGATCTGATGGAAACTTTGAAGAGCCCCCATCCAGTTGCTCGATGGCGAGTAGATTTGAGGGGACAAGACAGGGATGAGGAAAGCAGTTCGAAGGCTAGTCCCGTGGTCTCATTTAGGGCTCTGTGGTATCTCTATTCACTAACCAAATATTGATTGAGTCTTTGTTAGGTACCAGGCACACTTTGAAATTTGAGGGTATGGCATGAGCAAAACATCCCATCTTTGCTCTCCTGGAACTTATATTGTATCAAGGTGGTAGTGAGAATGTCCTTGATTTTAGTTGCTGTCAAGCTGGCTCCAACACATGGTACCCTTACGTGTAACAGAAATGTTGCCCAGCCAGGTGCCATCTTTAGGATAGATGGATGTATGAGCCCATTGTGTCAGTGCGTCTCCTAGAGGACTTCCTTCAGTTTCGCTGACCCTCAGTTTTACTAAACATGATGTCCTCCTCTAGCAATGTGTCTTGCCTGATGACGTGTCCAAAATGGTGAGTTGAAGTCTCGCCATCCTCACTTCTAAGGAGCATTCCAGATGTTTCTCTGAAGCCTGATCGCTTCATTCTGTGGTAACCTGCGGTATATACCACATTCATTGTCAACTCAGCAATCCAAATGCTTCAGTTCATCTGTCTACCTTTTTTCGTATCCTAAGAAGTCCTGGGGTGGTGCTGTGGGTTAATGCGCCAGACTACAAAGCCGTTTGAACTGCAAACGGTTCAAGCTCACCAGCTGCTCCGCTACTTCTTGGAAACCCTATACAGGGTTGCTATGGGTCAGAATTGACTTGATGGCACTTAACAACAACTTTCACAGTTACTAAACGGTTAGCATGGTCCAGGCCCTGTTTCCAGTGCTATCCAAGTGTCCATGTATCCTCACAGGAGCACTGTGAGGCAGGTTATGATCAGCTGAGAGGTCAAGGACCTTGTTCAAGGTCAGATAATTAATTAGTGGACCCAGGAGTGCATCCCAGGTTGTCTGGCTCTGCTCTCTGCCCTGTTTTCCTGGTCTCCCACAAGCTTCCCTGCCTCCTCACACTCGGGCAGAGAAAGCCCGGTGGAGAATGCTGCCTACCTTCTGCCTCTCTGCCTCCCACTCCCCTCACCCCCTTTTTTACGTGCTGTCCCATCATGCCCATCACCAGCTAATTGGAGCCCAGGTTCTGATTTTTGAGGAGTTATTAGTTAGCCCTGTCTGTAGAGGGTCACAGTTAGCAGTGACCAGGGAAGGTCGGTCTGTATGCGGCTAAGGTTAGCCCCACCTTCCCATCCATTGAGCTGGGGCTAGGGCCATGAAAAATTCGAGAACAGGGAATGGACTGACTGTGCAGCCCAAAAGACACCCCCATTGCTTCACCATACCTCAAGCTCCTGTCCCTCCCACTGACAGCTTGCAAAGATCTGTCCACCTTTGCGGCCTTTGACTTTGAAAATCCAGTGTGTGATTTCACAATTTGTAGTGACTCACTTGAATCTCTGCCTTTTAGCATAGGAAAGTCTGTTTTGAAAAAAGAACAAACATCCTTCTTGGAAACAGGAAGAGGAGACTGAGATTCCCGCTGATAACTTTTTGTTGTTGTTAAGTACCATCGAGTCAGTTCTGATTCATAAGGACGCCCGTACAGGGTTTCTGAGGATATGTTGGTGGATTTGAACTGTTGGCCTTGTGGTTCACTGTCCAGTGCTGATCCTACAGTGCCACATCACAAGTCCTCTCGTAACCTTTAATTAGGTGCAAAAACACCTTTTGAAATCTGGAGTGGGTGCTCTTTTCATTCCAATGAGGGGAACAGAGCCCTGTTTTGTTCTTTGTCTAGCTGTTCTGCTTGATCGCGGCTTCTTTTCCTTTCTCAATTGCCTGGTCTCCACCCTTCTCTTCTTTATGTATCATACTA